CCGCGGCCAGTGCGATCAGTATCGCGGCCACAGCGATCATTGCTACCGCAGCTGTGTGGCCCAAGCAAGCCAGACGACGATCCCCTTCTTCCGCCTCTTCGCCATGTTTGCGGGTGGCGCGGATGGCGCGCGCCTGTCCGTCAGTGCCCTCTCGCCGCTAAGCTCTGCCAGCAGACTGCCGCCAGGCTTTGCCAGCGGTGCGGAATACAGGGGGGTCGCGCAGGATGGCGCAGCGTTTCCAATACTCCGCTGGCTCCAGGGCGGGATTCGTGGAGCTCGCCCCAAGCTGCGTCGTCGGCAGCAGTTGTTCGATGCTGCGGGCAAGGTGCCGAGGGTGACGCGGGTGGTGTCCTCACTGTAGTCAACGCCCTTCAGTGTGAGATCGTTAATGGGATCGATCGCTGAATCCATTGGTACTAGGACTGGCCATGAGGTCGGTAGTGGGATCGATCGAATGAGATCGAAAGCGAGGACGATAGTGACATTACACAGCAGCGCAGCATCGTAATCACGCGACGTCGACTCAAGGGCGCGTCGCCAGCATCGTCATCATCACACCCATCGCCTTTGCCAGAAGTTGGCTCTTTCCCCCCAACCCCAGACCTCCTTATCACCCGAGGGGTGGTCGTTTAGAGACTTCTAAGGGAGTGGGATGGGGGAGGAAAAGGAGGAGGAGGAGGAGGATAATGAGGAGGAGGAGGTGGCGGAGGAGGGGGAGGACGTGCACGTCATCGGGGGTACACACACACACACACACACTAAGCACTAAGCACTAAGCACCGAGACGTGATGGAGGCTGGGGGTGCACCGCCAAGCCCCAGGGCCCCTGGAGGGCCAAAGGCCACGCACGGGCGCCCGCCTGGGAGGAGGCGTCCGCCTGGCGCAGAGAGGCGGCGGCGAGTGGCTTCAAGGTGACAGAGGCAGGGAGTGCAACAGGACCCTCGACGAGGGCAGTCACAATCTTCTCGCAGTTTAGGGAACGAAAAACGACATTGACATAAAAGCTCGGAAAGCCGCGCGGACTTCTCGGATCAGCGCTGGACCTCCCTCCATGGCCCGCGGAGCGCGGCGCCAGAGGCGCCGCTAGGGGGGTCCAGCGCGGATCCGAGAAATCCGCGCGGAACTTCGAGCTTTTGTGTTTATGCCGTTCTTGGTTCCCTCAACTTTGCCCCACGCACCTTTTTCCCGCTCGCCCCCTCCCCTCGCCCCTCCCCTCTTCTCCGCCGCGCGCCCGCTGCGCGGGCACGCTCCCTCAAGCAGCACCAGGGTGACGGATGGGAGGAAATCGGGCCCGGAGTGCCGCGGCCACCAGGCAAGACAGTCGAAGACGCTATGCCCTGACGTTACGTGTGGGGCCAGGAGGGACCGCTCCTGAACAACGGTCGCCGCAGCTCTTCGAGTTGCGTGGTGTCCTCACACGCCTACGGATTGGGGACACAGCTTGGTTTTACCCCCAAGACAGTCGAAGAAGGCACTGCCCAGCCACCCAGCCAGAGCGATCGCGCCGCCAGAGTGCTGGCCCGGGGCGGCAGAGTGCAGGACAGTCGAGGGAGGCACTGCGCAGCCACCCAGCCTGAGCGATGCCGCCAGCAGAGTTTTTCAGCTGGCACAGGGCGGCAGAGAGGCCGACGAAGAGCCCTTCCAACCATCCCCCGGCCCCCCCTATCTTCCCTCGCTCTTTCCTGACTTCATCGGTCTTCCGCCCCCCCGGGCTCCGCCATCTCCGCGCCGTGCGCTGGGGGTCCCTCTCCCCCCCCATCGCTCCCCTCCGCCACTCGCCGCCGCACTGCCGCCCACCGCAAACTGGACCTGGAGTAATGCTGCAACTAGGTGAGACCATCGTGCCTCTACTCAGACGGCGATGCCCTTCGCCAGGCTCACCAGCTGGATCAACCCCCCAGGGCCGACTGGCCCTGGGGGGGGAGGGCAACATCCACGGGATCGTACTACCATCAGTCCACAGTCCACAGGAGAAGGCAGGATAAGAGAAGACCGCTCGCGAAGCGAAGGGAGGAGGACGAGGAGGAGGAGGAGGAGGAGGAGGAGGAGGAGGAGGGGGAGGGGGAGGAGGGGGAGGAGAAGCAGGAGGAGGAGGAGGAGGAGGAGCAGGAGGAGCAGACGACGAGTAAGGCAGGCAGGCAGCAGAGCGCGGCGCTGAAATCAGGAAAAGGGGGTGCATAAGGGGGGGGGAGAAGGCGAAAGTCGTAGAGAATGGAGGGCCTCGGCGAACGCGGACCCAGGCCAGCATGTCGATGCCATCGTGTGCTGCTGAAGCGATTTCCTTCTCACGACGCCAAGACCATCGCAGTGGGAAGCTGTTGCGAAAAGGCCTGCAACAGAGGCGGACAGGGAGGAGGGAACGGAGCGGAAAGGCGAAAGGAAAGGGAGAGAACGGCGACTCCCTGCCGCCATCCCTGTGACCAGGCGGATCCGTGCACTCGACGAACCCGCACGCCTTGTCGGGGTTCCAATCACAGAGCTTCCCGAAAAGCCGCTGCTGCTGCGGCGGCCGCGCCCCATAGCCAGGGTATCCTCCATACGGGCCTCGCGAGAGGCGAGCAGCTACGTAGTGGGAAAGAGACGGCAGGGGCCGAGGAAGCAATAGGGCAAGGGCGACCAACAGGGACACCGAGAGGAGGTGACTGTTGGACCGGGCAGAAGAGAGAAGCGCCGATGAAAGAGAGGAAAAGACTATGAACCTCAAGCCAATAATAGCGATGGAGGACGCACAATGTTGCACGCGAGGTGCTGAAAGTCATTCGGCATGGGGATCCCCGTATGTGGACATGTTCTCCGATGCGCCCCCCCACCTGGAATGTTACAGATCTCGCAGAGAGCCCAAACCTGTGGGGCCGCAGACTGTGAACAGTCACGTTGCGGTGGCTCCAGTATTGTTGTAGTGTTGCGAAATATTGAACGGTAGCGCTTGTACTGTATCTGCACCCCTCTGCAAAGCTCCCCCCTGGTCTCCAAAAAGGACTCTCCAACCGTGACATGGGGATGCATTACGATTACTGCCCCCGAGAACCATTCTAAAGGACACTCGATATCCGAACAGCGTACCATGGCCACGACCCCTCATATTAAATTGCCCTGGACCTTCGTAGGGCCACCATCCCTCCTGACTTACACCAGATCCGCGCTCCCACCGCCACGATCCCTCGCAAATTAAACTGGATGCGTGCTCCCAGGACCACGATTCATCCTCAATGACTCTGGATCCGAACTGCCAGAGCCACAATCCCGCTCAAATTACTCTGGATCCGCGCTTCCAAGCCAGCGATCCTTGACAAATTACGGTGAGGCCATTGGATCAGGAGCCATTGGATGAGGAACTCAGGGTCTGGAAGCAGGTGGAACTCCCATCGTGGATTAGCCGTGGATATCACCACCGCCCTCATCGGATAAGGGATCCTCCAGGATCTGAAGCCTCCTGGGCACGTTCCTTAATGAACGCCCCGACCGTGATCTGGATATTGGTTCCCAGGGCCACGATCCCTTGCAAATGACGCTTGATCCGCGGTTGGAAGGCAACGAACCATCGCAAAAGCCTAATTCGAAATTGCGCCGCAAGCAATGCTGTTTCGCCTGGATGTCAGCGAACCAGGCCGCCGACAAAAGAAATAAAAAATGATGGCTGTCAGAATTCCTTTTATGCGCGAGTTGGCTGGAAGCTGAAATCGTCCTGTAGAGCGACCAGCTACAACGCAACTGCGCGCAGCCCAAAACCAAAAGCCAGGCGAAGGACCCAACCGCATGCACCTGCGAGTCCCACAAGGCAGGCGAAACGAAGGAGGGGGCGACCAAACTATGAATGGCGTCGGATTCGGCCCTCTCCCCATCGGAGGAGCACGGAAATCGCTATGGAGCACTCGATGGAGCTCTCTATGGGCCTACGAAGCACGTGAGTGGTGTACCGAGAAGACGAGGCGGCCACCATTCGAACCCGCCACTGGGGTCTTCGGTGGAGCTCCCTATAGGACCAGAAAACGTGTAAGGGTGCGCCGAAATGAGAGGCGGGAGCGCGTGCGACCCCTGTCAACGGGAGCCTTCGCTGCAGCTCGACAGGAGGCCACGAAGCGTGTGAGGGGTGCGTCAGAATGGGAAGCGGGCCAGTATGTGAACCCAGCCAGTGCGAACTTGGGCGGAGCTCCCTATTGGGCTACGGAACGTGTGAGTGGTGTGCCAAAACTGTTCGAGTGTGCGACAGTAACGCATGCGCATGTGAACGCTGCCACTAGGGCCTCAGGCGGAGCTCATCATGACCCCACGAAATGTGTGCGTGGTATGCCGACATGTCCCGCGATGGAGCATGTAAACGCAGCCAGTGGGGCCTCCTCCATATGAGGCCGTGAAACGTGTGCTGGGTTTGCCAAACTGTGCGAAGGGGACGCATGTGACCGCAGCCACTGGAGCCTTGGGCGTACCTCCATATGGAGCCACAAAACGTGTGAGGTGTGTGCCGGAATGTGCGGCGGGGACGCCTGCCACTGGGGCCTTAGGCGGAGCTCCCTGTGGGGCAACGAAGCGCTTGAGGGGTGTGCCAGCCTCGGTACCATGAGCGAACCGAACCAGTGCCGACAAGTTGCACCAAGCAAGCCCAGACGCACGTGAAGACCAACCTGCATCAGGCGAATCGGCATGCGAAGCCTCGGCTTGCGAAATTTGGAGGCGGCCAAAGGATGTGAGCTGGAAAAGCCCAGAGAAAGTCGGTGAGGAGGGGGAGATGAACTTCTCAAAGAATCAGTCCCCGGACCCCTCCTGGGGTCGGATCTGACCAGTTACTCGAGTCGCGTCCTGCCGTGGCGACGATGGGCCTCCTCGGTCCCCCAGCCAGCTCCAATCACACACGGCATCCGCGGCCAGGGGTACCCCAGGCGACATCAGCGTCAACTTGACGCTGATGTCGTCTAGGATGTCCCTGGTCGCCGTGTCCCTGATGTCTGGGACATCCCTGGTCTAGGATATCCCTGGTCGTCTAGGATATCCCGTGCCGTCCGGGATACCCCTTGTCGCTGATGACGTCCTTGACGCTGTCACAGAAGCACGAGGAACACGGCAGAGGAGCGCAAACAGGAGGAGAACACGAGCAACAGAGACCGGGCGGCTGCCCCTGGATGAGCAGGCAGCCTCTCGATCACCCTGCGCCGTGCGAGATGATGGCAAACAAGCCCGATGTCCCATGACACCAGAGGCGACACGATCACTGATTGTCTTTGGGATATTCAATGATGTTGGCGTTCTCGCCTTTTCGGACTTCCGACGATCCAAGACGGCCACATAGGCCCCCGAGGCCGCTCCAAGACGGCCACGGAGGCCCGCAAGACGACCCAAGAGCCCAAGAAGGCCCCAAGACAGCCTAAGAGGCCCCCCAGACGGCCCCAAGACGGCCTCGAAGCGCCCCAAAAATGACCCACGACTGCCCAGAGAGACTTCCAAGACGACCTCCGAAGGCACGTCCTTTAGAGGCCCCCAGAGGCTCCCAATAGGCCCCAGGGTAGGAGGGAAGGTGGGAGGAAGAGAGGGAAAGAGAAACTGCAAGGCAGCATGCGGATCAGAGCAAGTCTGTGGATAGTGTTGTAGATAGCGCGGCTACGCTGCGACTGGAGACAACCCAGCGCTCAAGAGGAGACGGAGACCGCTCCAAGTGGGCGAGCTGGTGCCCTCCTGCACGCCAGGGCTAGGCAAAAGCGCCGCCCCGATCAGCGAAGCGGGCAAGGCACGTCCACGCAGGAAAAGCACCTCGAAACAGCAGACATAGCAGGCAGACATATACTGAAAGGCATTTGGCTGGGAGCTGCTACTAGTAGATACAACTTACCCGCCATTGCAACAGCTGCCAGGGTTGTCGTCTGCCTCTGCTACCTGTCGTGCCTTTCTCCGCACTTAGAAAGCTGTCGTCGACGAGCCGTAGCCAGCTCCAGGCATTGGCCCGCCAAATGGCATACAACCATGAGGTGGCATACCACCTCCCGATTCCCCCCGTATGTGGAGGAAGTCAGGGAATGAAAGACGCTTATGCTTCCATTGTTACAAGACACGCTCATACAATGCAAAGTTCTCTTGGCACACGTTGTCGCGATTTGGTTTGCCACATGTTCAACCGAACAATGCGGCCAAGATGTAGGAAACAATGGCGTGAAGCTGTGCAACGGTACTGGACACAAATGCGCCCAATGGGATTGAATAAGCGCCCGTCAAGAAATCGGAAGAGAGGAATACACAACTGGAGTAGACAGGAACAGCTGCAAGCACAGGGAGATCAGGGCGAGCAAGAGCACACAGGGGAGGAAGTGGCACGCTCACCGACTGCCTCTCCGCACCCGATCCCTGCGTGCAGCGCCGAAGCTGCCCGCGCACCCTGCGGCCCCACCGCCGAATCCGCGGCCAGGACCGCCATAGCCAGGGCCAGGCCCGCCGCCAAAGCCTCGGCGGCCACGCCGCGACCCCCTCCGCCCGCGCAGGCGAGCGGAGCCGGAGCCCGGCGGCCCGCGGCTCGCAGAGACCCCCCCGCGCCGCCGGGCGAAGCTGCCGCCGGGCCGCGCGCTCGCGCCTCGCGAGGCGGAGAGCTGAGGCCCGGGCCAGGGCCGCCGAAGCCGCGGCCGTAAGGGCCTATCACCGACTCCACCTCGGTGGGCATGTTTCCCACCGCCGCCACCATAGGTAGGAGGGGAAGGAGGTCCTCCTCCTCCTCGTCCTCCTCCTCCTCCTCCTCCTCCTCCTCCTCCTCCTCCTCCTCCTCCTCCTCCTCCTCCTCGTCCTCCTCCTCCTCCTCCTCCTCCTCCTCCTCCTCCCCTATGTACTCCTCCTCTTCCTCCTCCTCCTTCTCCTCCTCCTCCTCCTCCTCCTCCTCCTCCACCTCCTTCCCCCCTCCAACTTATGGCGGTGGTGGTGGAAGACAAGCCCATCACACCTGGATCTCGCAGGCGCGCTCCTTGCCGCTCTTCGAGTCCACGCCGTGGACGAAGGTGAGCTCGGTGCCCGGCTGGGGCTGGGAGCGGTGGCAGGGCGGCCGCTGCTTGGCTCCGCCCCAGGGGGGGCGTGCCCGAGCAGCTCCCCAGGGCCAGGGGCGGCGAGGACGGTGGACTGGGACGTGGAGGGACACAGGTGGCCACATGTGAAACCTACCCCCACCCACAACGATTTTTAAGGGGGGGTCACTCCGCTCGGGAGCTCCCGAACGGCGTGAACACCCTACCCCCCCTTGAGAAATCGAGGGGGATGGGGGTAGGGTTCGCACGCGGCCACCGAGGACAGAAAGCGAGGACCATGACCGAGACACAACGCAGAAGCGTCGGTGCCGATCTCGGTCATCGCCCACCTCGATCGTCGTCCACCTGTGGATCATCCTCGCGGGTGGGCGACGGCCCGCATGGGCCATGACCACGATCGGCGTCGACAATGATCCCACGGCAGCCTGGCCTTGGTCATCGTGCTCCTTCCCTCGAGGGCGTGAGTCGAGGAAGGGAGCTCCAAAGAGGAGAACCTGCCGAAGTGGACGCTGCCCCAGCGGGAGGGGGCCTGCGGTGCCGTGCCCCGCGTGCTCCCCTGAGGCCGCGCCTCTCGCGCCGGGCCCTCCCCGTCCTGCTCCCCATGCCCGCCCCACGGCTCGCTGCCCTGACGACAGCCAGGAGAGGAGACTCCGTCCAGGGGCGCGCGGCACGCCATATACACGCGGAACCGGTTGCAGATGTTTCTGTACGCGACAGACAGGACACAGTGCCACCTTGGAGTCTGCAGGGCCGACCTGCTGGTCAGACCCGCATGCATCACAGGAAGTGGCAGCTCGCATCCACGTCTCAGCTCTCCTAGAGCTCCGAGCGAAGTTCCTGGATCCGCGCTGGTCGCCCCTCCCTGGCGCGCGGAGTGCGCTGGGGGAGGGGCCGGAGGCGCCGCAGGCGCCGCCAGAGGGGAGCTCCGAAGCCGATCCGGGAAACCTGCGCGGAGCTTCGAGAAATTATGTCTATGCCGCTTGTGTTGGTTGACACATCAGCACGATGACAGGTTCGATAGCTCAATCGTAAAGCCGGCCAGTGACTTCAAGAGCCGCGCAACTGGAGCGACCAGCCGCGCAGACGAGCTGTCATGCGAGCGATGCCGCACGTAAACGGCCACCGTGCGGCGATTGGCTCAAGGTTGAAGGGGGGCGCGAGAGGATCGCATGGCGTTCTTGCCCTTCGACTCTGGCGGGCAGCCGGTGGCGCGTCCGCCCGACGCTGCTCGGCGGCCGCATGTGCCTCGACCCGCCCCGCCTCGACGACGAGAGCAGAAAACAGAGCCAAGCCGGGGACGCAGGAGGGCGCACCAGTGCCGTGCGCCCCCCTCTGAGACGCACGTCCGAACCAGACACGCAGCACAAGCATCGCACATCACATTGCTTCCCGAGCGGTGTGGCCATCAAGCGCCCGCCACGGAGCACACACCGGGAGATTTCTGCACGCGCGCGCCGCCCCTTTTGGGGACGACGCACACATAGTCTGAGTACGTTGGGGTGACGCCGAAAGCATGCTCTGGTGGCCCTCCGCTTGTCGGAACTGCTGGCTGCTGTAAACCTTTCCCGCTCGCTCCGGTCTCTTGCTCCTCTGCCTCACGCATGGCTCCCCTGTCGCAAGCTCACGCAGCACTCATCCACTCAGTTCTGATCTTCGCCTTGCTTCTCCCGAGCATCGCGCCCGTCCACCCTGTGTTCTGCGCACTGTCCGCCACGACCTCCAATTCAAGCGTTTTCAGGATGCTTCCGTATTGCTTTAGAAAGAATAGCGTTTTGCGAAGCGCCGGGCCATCCCTCCCAGCCACGCTTCATGCAATTTCACAGCTGCAGCTCTAAACAAAGTGTCCTCTGCGCCATCGGGGAACGGGTGCAAGAATTCGGTCTTGTGGACAAACAGCCTCTTGCCGTCGCAATCCTGGCGGATGGCGCCAATCAAGACAACGTCTGCTTTCCAAAACAAAAAACTGGCAGAAAGAATGCAATATCACCGAGAGGCGATCAATACCACCAAAAGGCTCGAGATATGCCTTCATATAATGATGTTGTCCCGTGTACACATCTTGCGCACATGCAGAACGATCTTGACAGCGCTTGCACCTGGACATTTGCCTCACCCAACTTTCGCGCCCGTGTGGCAAGATTTGGTTGCCCAGCGCCGAACCATGCGAAGCTGAATGATCCGCCTCAAGCTGAAAGTACACAAGCCCATTAGGACGCAAGTGGTCTAAAATGCTTTCTCGTCCAACCCCCCTCTTCCCCTTCGGAGAGAGGCTGATTACAGCTCCCGATGAATATATACACACACCACCCGACCGGCGACAAACCTGGGCCAACAACAATCCCCCCCAACCCCTGGCAAATAGCAATACAGAGTGCGCTTTGCACCAAAATCTGGATCGTGCGCGCGGACGCCCCGCGACCACTCCGCCTTGATTTGTGGCACGGACGGCGAGGGGGGCGGCATATTGCCTGTTGTGTGCAATGCCAACACCCCGCCACCACCCCTTGCAAAAAAAACATTTGCACCCAAATGTGGATCGTGCGCGGGCACCCCGCGATCACTTCACACTGCTTCATGACAGGGCCAGCGGGGGGGCCGGCGTACTGCCTGCTGCGCGCAGGCCCGCCACCTCCTCTCAAAAGAAAACCGCAGAGCGCACTTTGCCAGGGGCGGCGGGGGTGCGGCATGCTGCCTGCTGAGTGCAGGCCCACCATCCCTGTCAAAAACAAGTGCAGAGCGACTACTGGTGCATACACACACACACACGTACGCACACACACACACACACTTTTTGCCGATCACGGCCCCGCGCGCAGCGACGAGGCGGAATAAGTCAGGTACAGCGGACGGGGCCCCGCGCGCGCCAGCCTCAGAAGGGGGCCGCACCACATGCCGTCCGGGTGTGGACGGGCGACGAGACCAACAAGCCGGACAAAGAACCTGCAAGGCTACAAGCGACAGCGAGAGCGAAAGAGTGGCAAACGCTCAGGGAGCTGACAACTGCTGCAGACAAACCAGAGAGAGACGAGCGGAGAGTGGCGGGCAACGGACGGAGGAGGGCCGAGAGCTCAGCGCCTTGCCTTGGGCCCGCCGTGAGGTAGGGAAAGTTCGTGGGAGGGGTGCCGCTTCTTCTCCTGCTCCTCCCCCTCCTGCCCACCCGCATACACACACACACACACACACACACACACACACACACGCACACACACACACACACACACACGCAATACACAATGCTGGAAAATCCACCGTCGCCTTGCATTGGCGTCTGACAGGGATAACGGGCGGGTCGACAAATTGCCCAATGTGGCGCACCTGGTGCGTATTGCGCACCTGGCATCTGCGGCGCACCTCACGGATTTCGCTCACCTGGGTGGCGTCTGTATTAGTTCCTGATGGTTGTCGATGGCGGCTCTACAGTGGGAGGCCGGGTGGGATTGAGCGAGACAGATTGCTGCGTTCTCGCTGAGAACTTGATCCCTCCCCCTACCCCATACCCCTGGGTCTGGACCGAAAAAAATCTAGATGCACCAAACATGGCTCCAAGATGGGCCAAGAAAGTGGAAGATGGCCTCCAAGATTGCATAAGATAACCGAAACTGGCTCAAGATAGGTTCCAACATTGCTGCAAGGCCCCACAAAAAACTCCCAAGAAGCTTCCGAGCCGCCACGGAGCCCCCTGAGGACACTCCCGCAAGGCCAAAATCCAAACAAAACCGTTGGAAAACCAATGACTTTTGCATTATCGCCTTTTCGCTTCTGATGGGCTGTCGAAGCCGCAAGATGACTCCAAGAGGGCCCAAAAAAGCCCCAAGATGGGCCCTAGATGGATCCCAAGACGGCCCCAAGGGAGCCCAGGAGCGCCACAAGAGCGCCTCAAGAGGGCTCTAAGAGGTGACGTTGGGGACTCTAGAGGGGCGACGCTGTTAGGGACCCCCCCACCCCCAATTTGATCAACAAACACATTAGAAAGCATCAGATGCTGAAGTGGTTTGGGTTTTTCGAGGGCATCTTTGGGAGGCTTTTGGCCCAAGAGGGCTCCAAAATGGCCTCCAAAATGGCCCCCAAAGAAGGTCCACCCCAGCACGTGACGGCTGCCGAGCTTGGCGCGCGGGCAGCCCCCCAATCCGTGCCAGGAATCAGCGCTCCAGACCTATAGACCTACCTGGACTGCCTGAAACCTCGATCGAAGTGCAAACTGCAAGGTCTTGGTGCTCTGCCAGCCCAGGCGCTCCCCTGGAGGCCTCCCCCAGCGGTCCAGGAAGCCGCACGCTTTTCGTCGATCCCACTCTCGCAGAACGCCGTGCAGCCGGGGGCCTCGCCCTCTGCCGCCGGCGCCCATCGCGGCACCGCCTGAGGGGAGGGCCCGGCGGACAGAGCTGCTCGATCGGGCGGGCGGAGAAAAAAAAATGTTGTTCAAAGGCGCGTTCCTTCCTGATCGTGCCCGCTTCTGCTTCTGCCTTGCCCCGATACGGGATCGGCGACAGCAGACGTCGACTGGGTAACAAGACCAAACAGAGCACCTAAAGACAGATGCCGAGCGGGGGGGGCAGGAGAGTGGCGGCAGAAATGTGAGGCAGAGATGGGCAAGGGCAACAAGTACATCGTGATCAAGCAAAGCCCCTCTGGCCCCTCGTCGTCGTCCTCCTCCTCCTCCGTCCTACCGCCTACCCCTACCCCTCCCCTTTTCCCCCCCCCCCCCCCCCCCTGATGCTCCTCCTCCTCCTCTGCTCCCCTCCTCCTGTGCCCTTCCTCCTACCCTTCCTCCTGCCACCCCCTCCTCCTCCTCCTCCTCAGCTACTCCTCCTGCCCCTCCTCCGCCCCCTCCTCATCCTCCTCCCCCTCCCCTGCCTCCTCCTCCTCCTCCTCCTCGTCCTCCTTCAGCCCTCCATCCCTCCTCCTTCCTCCTCCTCCTGCCTCCCCTCTCTCCTCGATTCCTCCGCCTACCTCACCTCCTCCTCCGTCTCTCCTCCTCCTCCTCCTCCTCCGACCTCCTCCTCTCCGCCTCGTCCTCACAGCCTCCTCCTCCTACTCCTCCTCCTCCTCCCTTCTCATGCCTCCTCCGTCCTCTCCATCCTTCTCCTCCTCATGCCTTCCCTGTCCTACTGCCTCCTTCCATCCTCCTCCCTCTCCTCCTCCTCCTCCTCCTCCTCCTCCTCCTCACCATCCTCACCATCCTCCTGGTCCTCCCAATCCTCCGCGTTACCCTCGTCCTCTCTGTTCTCGCCGTGTCTCTGCTCCTCGTCATCCTCTCCCTCCTCCGACTCATCCTTCCTCCCCATCTGGGGGTCAACATCAGGGGGGGACTGGCTCAGAGGGGGGAGGGGGAGAAACATCGACCTGGAATCGGCGATACATCGCCGACTGATCGGCGATAGGCCGGCGATAGCGAATCCGAACGTGGCTCAGTGGGGCGGGCACATCGAGCGCCTGTCGGCGAGGCGAGCGCGCGCGTGCCTCTGGTGCGGCCGAGGGCGCAAGGAGGGCCGCCACGAGGCAGCGCGGGCAGCAGGAGCTCATCCTCCGAGACCAGCCGGCCTCCACGAGCAGGCAGGGGCCATGCCCACGGCCGAGAAGCGCGATCATCCTCCGAGGCCGGCCCAGCCTCCGCGACCAGGCAGGGCCGCCCTGGGACCAGGAAGAGCCCGGGCGCCCAGGGCGGACGCCTCCCACTGCGAATGACGATGAGCCTATGGGCGCCATGTCGAGGCGCGCGGGCGTCGGGGGGAAGGCCCCGAGGCAGAGGGCCAGCGGCGAGAGACGGTGATGGGTCTGGAGGAGGCCGAAAGCGCATCCCCAGAGAGAGAGAGAGCGCGAGAGCATGGTGAGGCAGCGGGCCCGAGCCTGGTGGTCTGCCCTGCGGGGCGCGCTGCGCCGATCCCGGCGGCCCGCCTTTGCCTGGCGGGCCGCCGTACAGGCTTGGCGGGCCGCCGTAGGGCATGGGCTGCTCGATCCAGATGTCGCAGGCCCGGTCCTGGCATCGAGAGCGTGGGCAGCGCGTGCTCGCGCGCACCCACCCCGCCTCCAACACACTGGCGAACTCCGCGTCCCACATCCCACGTCACGTCCCATGGCACACTCACATGCTCTCGCATCCCAGATCCCACCCCTGACCCTGCCCCGTGCTTTTATCACCCACGTCCCGGGCGGGCATTCTCCAAGAGGCAACTGGAAAGCAGGAGGGAAACTGTCAGACTGGATTCCCCTGTCAGCACACTGATGCGGGTGCTGCTGCCTAACACATCCTGAACATTCCTGACGACGAGGGGACGGAGGAGGTGAAGGGCCAACCCCTCTGACCTGCACCCAGCAAAAGATGAGATTGTCAAACCAAACCACTTCTCAGAGAGGTCAACGAGACCAGTGGCCAGCTGCACGGCACAACAAAAAACAGTGGCAATGCCGACGCCTTGCCGCTTCTGGGGTCGGCCCCGACGACGAAGCTGAGCCGCGTGCCCAGCGGTGGCTCCTGGGTTTGCGGGAGACTGCAGGCACGAAGCACGTGGAAATGTTCTGACCTTCTGTGCGTGGATCCGCCGCCGTGCCTCGAAGCTCGAAGTGGAGTGTCCTCAGGTACATTCCAGAAGGAGCCCACAGCCTCGAATCCCAGGGATTGCCGCGTGTTGTCGCTTTACTTTTCCAGAGACAAGAAGGCCCCAGACAGGCCAACAAGCCCCAAGAGGCCCCCAAGAAGAAACAAGAGGGCCCCGGCCCCAAGTCGCCCAAAGATCGCTCCAAGTCGCCCAAGATGGCCTCCAGACGGTCCGAGAGGTCCCCAAAGACGCTCCGAGAGCTTCCACTCGGTGCCTGGAGAATTTGGGCGTTCTTACCCGTTTGGGCTTTCGACGCTCCAAAACAGCCCAAAGGGCCCAAACAAACGCCCAAAGACAGCCCAAGACGGCCCCCAAGAGGGCCCCCAGACGGCCCAAGAGAGCCCCGAAACGGCCACAGAGGCCCCAAGATGGGCCAAGAGGACCCCAAAAAGAGCCCAAGAGAGGCCCCAGAGGGAGAACATAAATGAACAGTTCGAGCCCTCCGCCCCAAGATGACCCCCGAGACCGCCAGCAGGCCCCCATGAGGAGCTCTGGGAGGCCCCCGAGACCTCAAATCGTTCCCCGAGAAGCCCCTAAGAAGCCCCCGAGAAGCCCCCAAGAAACCCCAAGGGCCCCTGACCTATAACCCAGGCACGGTGGCGGGATCGGTCGAAGGCCACTAAATCCGCCGCCCTCTGTTGCTAGCAACAGGGATGCACGGCGTGCTGGATTGTAAGTTGGTTTGAAACCTTGTGTAAAGGTCACCAATGGGGTATCGGCCGATCGCGCCAGCCAACCAGAGAGCCGCATAAAAGGTGGGAGCCAAGGCTCTGACGTCTCAAAGACAACCCACATGGCCCAAGATTGCCTCCAAGATACCTCCAAGACGGCCACGATGGCCCAAGATGGCCTCCAGCACGGTCCCCAGACGCCTCCAACAAGACGGTCCAAGATGTCCTCCAGACGGCCTAAGAGACCCCCATGACGCCCCAAGAGAGCTCCAAGAGGACCTCCAGGAGGCCAAAATCATTGATTGCCTTTAGGCTTTAATCCTTCTAGCGTTCTCGCCTTCTCGGGCTTCCGACGCTCCCGGACGGCCCCAGAAGCCCCCTAGACGGTTCAAAGACGGCTCCAGAGGCCCCAAAGAGGCCCACAAAACGGCCCACCAGGGCCCCAAGACCACCCAAGAGGCCCCCAAGACGGCCACAAGACGGCCCCAATGGGTTCCACAACGGCTGGGGGAACATCTAGTCCAATAGCTTGGCCAGACGTCGCCCCAGCGTTTGGCCGCATGGGCGTCTCCAAAATGCAGGTGGCGGCGGTGATCCGCCATAGGCGTCTTCGATCCGCTTCGCCCTGTCTTTAACACATGGGTGCTTGGCGTGCTGAAACGTGTACTGTTCTGAACCTTATTTAAAAAGTTCCCTGTGGCCTTCGACTTGACCCGCCAACCACGCGGAAAGAACACGGCGAGACGTCTTCTAACGGCTTTCCCGCTCAAGATGGCCTCAAAATGGCCTCGAAGATGGCCAAGAAGACCTTCAGGTTGGCCCAAGATGGTCCAAAATGGCTTCAAAGACGGTCAAAGAGGGCCTCCAAGCCGGCCCGAGATGACTGCAAGACGGCCAAAGATGCCCTCCAGACGGCCCAAGATGTCCTCCAGACGGCCCAAGACAACACAAGAAGGCTCCAAGAGGAGCTCAGTGAGGCAAACAATATTGATTCTGCATTCGGTGTTTTAAACTTCCGTATTCTCGGATACGTTCTCGCCCTTTCCGGATTCCGACATCCGAAGACGGCCCAAGAGGCCTCCAAGGTAGCCCCGAGACAGCCCCGGAAGCACGCAAGACGCCCGCAAGATGGCCCCAGATGGCCCCGCATACTCCTGCCCCCGAGAGGCCCGCCGGATGGCCCGAGAGGCCCCCAAGACGGCCACAAGATGGCAGCACAGGCTTCCAAGGCAACCTAAAAGCCCGAAGAAGGCCCCAAGACGGCGCAGAGGGACCCCCCAAGACGGCTTCCGAGGGCCAACAGGCGAGAGGCCCCCAAGAGGCCCCCAAAAGAGGCCCCCACGATGCCACCCCAAGAGGCCTCGAAGAGGCCCCAAGATGCCTTCAGAGGCCCCCAGAAGGCCCCAAGAGGCCCGCAAGAGGGCTCCTGTTCCTCCTGTTCCTCCTTCTCCTCCCTCTCATCCTCTTCTCTTCCTCCCACAAGTGTTCCGCCAACGGTCTCCACAAGGGCTGGGGGAACACGAAGCCCAATAGCCCGGCAGGACTTCGTCCGAACGTTTGGCCACGTAGGCGTTTCCAAAAAGAAGGGTGCGGCGGTGGTTCGCCGTAGGCGTCTTCGATAGTAGTAACGCGCACACGCTGCTCAAAATACAGAGTGGCATAAACACCACTTACAGTGGAACCCCTACGGAACCAACACAACTCTCAATCGACCGGACTGCATGCATAGACCGCGCGTCGCTGCATGACCATGCGCGCAACTAAGCACAGCAACAAAAACGGATGCAGTCGAGTCCTCGCCATCACGGAACTGCTGGGCAAACTCGGATTTGTGGACGAAAAGTCGATTGCCTGCGCTGCCCCGATGAATTATCCTTCTCCCTTGGAACGCTCAACCGATGTATCCTTATCGAACGACGCTTCGACCATCGTCCGAATGGAAAAGGAAGCGTACGCTCACCAAACCAATCCTGCACTAGTGCCAGTGTACCATGGTGTCAGCCATCACGGATGATGGGAGGGAAAGGCGCATGAAACATACAAATGCATGTGAGTAATTACAGCAACGGGCAGCTACTGCTGGGACCATCCAGTTCGCAGATCCATACAGACAGGAAGACAAGAGATCGCCTTCACAATCCAGAAAGCCACATGCCTTATGCGGGTCCCACTGGCAGAGAAATCCAATCAATCGTGGACCTCTGCCGTGACCTTTGCGGGAATAGAATCCAACTGCAAGGACGGATTGAGAAATAGGTGTCGAAAGATACGTAGCGGAGGCACTTTAGGTTGCATTGGCGCAACGAGACAGCAGATGCGATGAATACAACCAGATACAAGTCTCATGCTACCAGGCGGGATAGCCAGCTGCATGGCGAAGACCGTGATGGCGGTTAAGATATGCAAGCTACGAGTTTCGAATGCATGTGCAACTGATCTTTGAAACGATCGCGGATCTCCCAAATTGAAACTCCCATACCCTTTGGAAATCAAGCTCGCATAGCCGCAGATCAAAAGGATCGCGACAGGCCCCTCGAATTTGCAAGCGGAATGACAAGGGAGGCGGTTGCGGTGGCAAGCGAACTTGTTCTTTGGGCGAACGCTAAACCCGCAAAACAGGACACGCATTCCGACACACAAGCTGATACAAGCTCGCACAAGCCCGTTGCAAAAGCGTCAATATGGCCAAAACGGAATGCACATATCAAAGAAAAAGATCGACTATGTGTAATGCGGGTGCTGCGACAAAGCTGCGCAGGGAAAGGGCCCTGAGCACTTGGCCTGACGATTGCCGCCACCCACATCTGCCTCGACTTACGTCCGCACGACCAAACACAAGCAGGCTATCAAGTGGGCCACGGGTAACAGGCAATCGAATGAAAAGTGCAACCCACCCAACACGAGCAGACCACGAGGATGCGATGAGCTAAAAGTCGCGGGCAACCGAACACACATTGCATACCGCATCCCACAAACACACACACACACACACACACACACACGCACGCACGCACACACACACACACACAAGCATATACACATGGAAAACGAGGGGCACAAGGCCATGTACCACGGGACCAAAAGCCATGGGCAACACAACCCAACGTGTAAGTCGTAGGGGAAGGGCGCAACGGCGCCACCGGCCACGAGCCACGAAAGCGCATTCGCGGCACAAATGAACAGCTCGTTCGCTCGTGCGGTCCGTTGTGGACGATTGCAGTAATTGCCGATGTTGGGTCTTGTCACATCGGGGTATCCTCAACGATCTTGGGGGTCATCTGGGGCCCTCTGAAGCCATTCTGGGGCCACCAGGAACCATCTTGGACGCTCCGACCCCTCGCGCCCCCACCCACCCCAGACACAGGGAAGGGGAAGGAGAAGAATGGTGTAAGCAGAACGAGATCGTTCGACCAATCACGCCCTGAGGGCTGGTGGGATCGATCCAAATCTACCCCCCCGTTCCGAGGCCCGGGTTAAGGGCCCCCCTCCCCATCCGCATAATCCTTTCTGTACCTGTCTGCGCGGTCGCCCCTCCTGACTCCAGACTGATAGCATGCCAGCCAACCCCCGTATCGACACATCCAGCCAAAATATGCGGTGCACATGCACTGAACTAGGATGTGGAACAAAATGTCCGGAACAAATGCATGACAGCGAACGTGCCCGCGCCACCGCGCGCGCACGCCAAAAGTACACCAAAAACCATTGGAATCCTGGGGAACAAGATATGGCCAATCAAAAACGAACCGAAGTAGCAGTAGTGGCCCCGTCAGAAAATGGCCACACTTGTATGCACGCATACATCCGCTTACATCTCACGAAATCCAATGTTTTTAGCCGTTCTGACAAATCAAGCATGCGGGCCACTGGCGCGCACAGTTCGTGCAACCCTCATCGCGCGACCACCAATGGAGTCGGATACAGGATGCGGGCCACACGCGCGCATCTTCGCGCACGTCCGCGAGCCCACCATCCTGATAATCATAATCACGGCCACTTTCAACAACAACCACAACAACAACCACATCAAACAACAACAACAACAACAACAACAACAACAACAACAACAACAACAACAACAACAACAACAACAACACCAACAATCATTTTACCCGAACGCTCAGTTGTTCTCCCAGTGCCAGGGTTTTCATACGACACCAGCAATACCCCCACTTTGTGGGGGGGGGCATTACAAGCTCTACCAAATATCCAAACGAGACTTCGCGTACACCCAAAGTACCAGGATCGAAAGGCCCTTTGTTGTTATTTCTCTTTTTTTTTATGCGGTGTGTTTGTACATCCCGCCCTATTGACGTTGCGGACACTTCACTCGTGGCCGTTGCGGACGACCGGGCTACTTACATGGCGTGGGGTACACACCCACAAAACTTGGTCACTTATTCGGCGGGGCGCGAGCATGTGCCAGCATGGTGCAATTGTGCCATACAATCCATAATACAGAGAGACGAGGAGAGAGAGAAAGAGAGCAGACAGAGAGAGGAGACAGGAGATCGGAATTTGGTCACATTTTTTTTTTTTTTTTTTTTTTTCAGGGTCAAGTTCCTGGGATGATGGGAATACACAACTCTGTTACATTTGATAGTGTGCACGACCTACATGAGATGATACGTACTCGCAAGATAGTTGGTCACATTTGTGGAATTCCTGGGCGCATGTGTCCCGCATGGTATTATTTGACAGGGATGATGGCCCTGGCAGGTGCGCAACCGTTGTCGCAGAAGTTCGAAAAAGTTGCTCGCAAAAGCCCGTTTGACAGAAATGTTTAAAAAGTGTTGGGTTTCCTACGAATCCGCAAGAGCGCGCGGGATGAGATTTTGACACTTTTTTGTTGAAAAAAACCATTGGTTTTTTGATGTTTTTATGTTAAAATCGCTCCGAACACTAAGCTTTTGGAAGGATTTCGTCTTGCGCGCGCGAATGTCCACTTTACCTTATTTTTTGCAAGGGATTCTTGAAATTTGATTATATGAGAACAAGAAATGTCATTTTATAGTGTTTTTTGCAAGGGAAAGCGGGGGGGAACAAAACAACCGGATCTTGATCACATCGAATTACCTGAGGCTTCCTCACGAAAATGATGAAAATGTAGCTGCGGCCTAGGCGGCGCAGGGGGGCCGTGCACCAGGGGTCCCAACAATAATTATTCTTTAGAATTAATAATGTTCAACAACAACAACAACAACAACAACAACAACAGCAGCAGCAACAACAACAACAACACAAACCAACAAAAACAAAAACAAACACCACAATAGCAGCAAAAACAGCAACAATCACAACAACAACAACAACAACAACAACAACAACAGCAACAGCAACAGCAACAGCAACAGCAACAACAACATTAACACAGACACAAACACAAACACCAACAAACAAAATCAAACACAACAACAACAACAACAACAACAACAACAACAACAGCAGCAGCAGCAACAACAACAACAACAATCGGTTTAAGACTTTTCGCTTGTATCTGCTCGAGCGTCCGTTAACGCGTATTTCCCCAACCTCGATACCCGTCCTCTTCGTCTTCGATCGTACCCCTTTTGGGGGGTATACCTTTCTTCCCTGCAGGCTGGCCACGGCAAGCGGTAGGGCGGCCGCGGACCGTCTGACTGGCCAGCGGCAGCGCTGATCGGCGGCAAACCCCAAGCGGGACGGACAGGGAACCGACCACGACGACGACGACGACGACGACGACGACGACGACGACGACGACGGCGACGACGTCGACGACGACGACGACGGCGACGACGACGACGACGAGCGAAAGCGTGAGCGAGAGAGTGAACGACAGCAGGGCCACAGAGGCAACGGAGCAGGCCACGAATGGCGACAGCGGGGACACGAAAGTAATGCGTATGGGGCAACGGAAAACGCGAACGAGCGGGGGCCACGAAGGGCAGATAATGCGGGGCCACAGAAGGCGACGACGGGACCACTGAGAGTAGCAACTGGGCCACGCAGGACAGCGAGGGGGCCACAAAGGGCGACAG